CTGGAGGTGCCTGGGCTTGGGGCTGTGGGGGTGCTGGGGGTGTCTTGGCTTTGGGCAGTGGGGGTGCTTGGGGCGTCTTGGCTTTGGGCAGTGGGGGTGCTTGGGGCGGTGTCGGCGAGGAAGCGGGTGCTTGGGGCAGTGTTGGCGAGGAAGCGGCCTCGTAAGGGTAAGAAGTCACCAGAAAAATGGGGTGCAGGGGTGGAGCTGCACCGGGCCACACAAGAGAGCCATGCCAAGCCTAAAACAACCCCGCGGACAGCGGAGGCAGCAACGGCGATGTGAAATCTCCCTGCAATGGCCATGGTGGAGGGTGAATTCTAGACCCACCCAGATTGTGCCGTGGCGAAGCAGCTCTTTTGTTTAATGTTCCATATGAAAAATATCTCTGAGCACTGCAAAATTTATATTGGTCTGCAAAGCCATGAATCTAAACCCCTCGCCCCAATATTTGCCTACAACTTTTCCCCGCCGCTATCTATTTTTAGTAAGCTTTGAATTTGTGACATTAATGTGTAACACAGGAAGTTTTGTATTTGAAACTTCACTTTAAGAGACAGACATGTAAGTCCATGCACAACATGACACAGAACAAGCTTGTAGGAGAGAATTAGCTGTGTCCCCACACACTCACCAGCCTATGGCTACTCAACATTTGGGAGCTATTCAATTTGGGTACCCACAAAACAATAATAAAAGCAACTAAAAGCACCAATTTGTAACTTCATACCTAAAATTGATATCATTTTTGGTCTGCCTATGCTTGTACTTTGGCTATCATCAAATGTAATCCAATATCATGTTTATAAACAATAGGGTTATTCTCTACTTTAATGAACAACGAAAAAAGAAAGTATCATTTAAAAACATTAAAGGTTTATTCATGAAACAAAATCCGCTTAAAAGTTGCAAGCCAATTCACAAATCATGATTAAACTATAAAGATCCAATCTTGAACGAAAATGTGCCTATACTCAATGGTGGCATATGACTATAATATTTTATTAAAATAAAGTGAGGAGAATCTTAGGTTCTTTTTTATCTTTACTTTTAAGATGTTCTCTTTATGAATTTCTTTCGAGTAATAAAAAAAACCAATCGTACCCAATCAAAATGAACACTGATGTTTATCATCTAATAAAAACCAAATAAACGATGGATCGTTTACGATTGTAGAAGCTATATTCATAAGCGTTTTTCATCTAATAAAAACCAAACATACCCACCTCGGGAGACATTCGCCCACAAAACATTTCCTTAAAAACTTACATAATTTGACTCAAAAAAAAAGGCAAAAAAAAAAAAAAAACATTGAAATCTACCAATCCAAGTCAATAATAATGTAGGGGCTCGAGCCTTTCCCTTTAGGCCATGTGCCCTCACGTTTTTTGTTTAAAAATTAAAACTTTTTTAAAAGAAAGGCCCAACGGGGTAACCCTCCATTTAGAGGGAAAGTGTCCTCTCCCCCTCCCTAGAGCTGGCCGAAGGAGTGAGCCAGGTAAGCAAGTGACCCTACAAGGGGTGCATTGGTATACGTGGCAGGCTCGGACTGCTCATAATCCGACCTTTGATCTGGGAACCTGTCGTTCTGATCGGGCCCACCCACCACTGCACCAATCAGCAGGTTCGGATTGGGTGCTGCAGAGTTCATCACACTGAACCCTGCTGAGCATTGGATCTTGGCCGGATGAGCTTCAATGGACGGCAGCGATGATCCCCGGTGATGGATCCTTTTAGGGTACCTTCCCCCATAACCCACCATGTAGGACATCTTTAAAGGGTTGTCCCCAAGAAGATAGTCCACCTACGCCACCAAAAGTGGATTTTTTTTTTATCAGTACCCACAAAATCAAAACTAGTTCTGCTTTGGATTCCGGAATGTACCTGTTTTTTGGCGATGGAGCGGAGGGTTTTGGGGGTTATGGTGGCGCCGCCGCAGTTCGCCACCATGTGGGCGGAGGTCAAGTATTTGGCGTATGTTAATAGCAGGAATGAAGTGGATGTTACATACTGCATGTTACTGTCGCTCATTTTGAACAGCAACCCTCCTTCACAAACCAAAAAGAAAGATAGTTTTGTTAGCAAACACGACCCTCCGCCACTTTGAGTATAAGCTCACGTGGCTTAGTGCAAACCTGGAGTGTATTTAGTCGAGGAGAAAGAAGCTCCAGGAATCAGGGAGCATATGAAATTATCAGCATGGCCCTTGTAATCATGAAGAGACTTCATCTTTTGCACCAAAAACGCCTGTGAATTCATCAAACCAAATGCTTTTTAAACCAAAATAAGCTGGGGAAGTGAGTCGAAGTGAACAATATCATACTATTATCGAACCTTGGAGAGAAGGATTCTGGCGCCGACGTGCTTGTTATCCCAACCGAACGTGTTGTCGAACTCACCGGCGCCGAGGGTCTGTCCATTGATTTGAATGTAGTTGAGGTATTTGGGGTTTTTGGTGGCTCTCTGAAGCCAAGCAGCACCCCACAGAAGCTCATCCTGCAACAAATTTGCTTAAAACCTCTGTTTTTGTCTCATAAAAATGGAAGCTTTAGTGTTCTTGAGCTTTATTACCTGATATCCAGAGTAAGAGCAGTAAAATGGGCATACATATTTCTTCAAGCCAGTGCTGTAAGACCCTCGATACTTATCAGCAAACTCAAAAACCTGCAGAAAATCCAAAACAAAATAATGGAGCTTAGTCAAAATGCTCTGTTTTACTCTGTTTTGCTCTGTTTTGTTCTGTTTCTCCAAGGTAGGTTCTTTTTACATACCCTCATGGCTCTTCTGACAAGAATCTTTGAGTAGATAGGATCACTTCGACGGAAAACCAGTGATGCGGCGGCGAGTGCAGCGGCGGTCTCGGCGGCGACCTCTGTTCCTGGGTTGTTCTTATCCACCTTGAAGACACTCCGGGGAGTATCCATGTCCTCAGGCCTCTCCCAACAGGCATGATCCTTGTTAGCATCGCCAACCTGAACATAAATAGTGTCGGGATGAACGGTGGCCTTGAGGAGATAATCAGTAGCCCAACGAACGGCTTGTTTAGCATTCTGAAGCTCCCCCTTCATCAACCCACCAAATTCAAGAACACTCCACGAAAGCATGGTGGTCGTGAAAGCCATAGGAAACCCAAACTTCACATTGTCGCCGGCGTCGTAGTAGCCGCCGACCAAATCAACCTACATTACCACAACCCCACTTCATAAATAAACATTTCAAATAGAAACAGAGTTAAATGGGTGTGTTTGCGTTATGTACCTTCATGGCGGCGCCGTCGGAGAGGCCAGAGTTCCGGCGCCACGTCATCCTCTGGTTGGAGGGGAGCCTACCGGACCTTTGGCCTTCAAAGAAGAGGATGGATTTGGTAAGGGCGTCTCTATAGTTATGATGGGCAGTACGGGGATGGCGGTGGAAAGGGTGGGCATTGTTGCAGGGGAAGAAGCAGAGGAGGGTGAGGAAAAACAGAGTAGTGAGAGCGGCCATTGATGGAAGGTCTGAGGGAAAGGCTGTTGAGCAGAGCTTTGTGTGAAGGTGATGAGTACATTTATAAAGGAAAAAGGGAAAAACAATTAATTCATATTATTTTTTTAAAAAAATTAAAAATAAAAATATGATTTTTGAGTGTTGAAGTGGGTATGTTGGGGGGAAGTTTGTTCGTGTGGAGATGGCAAGTTCCCTTTGCCCCAAAAATTGGAATCACAAGGGGCATTTATGAGTCTGACCACCCAACCAAAGACTTGTGACATTCTTACGATTGGATCCAATCCAGCATGCATCGGGTCAACCACACCACTAACCGATATAGAGTTTCAGTATGTAATAGTTCAAACCCTAAACCCAGCACTAATCGATATTGTTCGTTTTGATCCGTTTCGTATTGTCGCCAATCTTATGATTTTAAAATGTATCTATCAGAGAAGTTTCCACTCTTATAAAAAATGTTTAGGATTTAAAGTTTAGAGTTTAAGGTTTAGGGTTTAAGGTTTAAATTTTAAAGTTTAGGGTTTAAGATTTAGGGTTTAGGGCTTAAAGTTTAGAGTTTAGGGTTTAGGGTTTCGTTGCTCTCTCTAATTATCGTGGGATCTCACATAAGCACCTGGTGCTCTGGCATTCTCCTACAAATGTTTAGGATTTAAAGTTTAGAGTTTAAGGTTTAGGGTTTAAGGTTTAGGGTTTAAAGTTTAGAGTATAAAGTTTAGGGTTTAAGGTTTAGGGTTTAGGGTTTAGGGTTTAAAATTTAGAGTTTAGGGTTTCGTTGCTCTCTCTAATTATTGTGGGATCTCACATAAGCACCCGGTGCTCTGGCATTCTCCTACATCTAGTATAACAAAGTGTACCCAGTAGTTCAATCATAGAAACTCTTAAATTAAACGGTTTTTGCTAGGAATAATAGTCAATTAACCTTAAATTTAATGCTTAAATTTTATTAATAAAATTTAACAATTGAAAATAAATAAATAAATGAAAATTGAATAGACCCATTTGTTAGGAATAAGTGTTTAATTAATTTAGGTCTGAAAAAGCTGTTGATAGCAACCTGGCATGGTAGAGCAGCAGTCAACAAAGAATCATAAAAAGCAGTGGAAAAATAATTATTATTTTCTTTTCTTTTTTATTTTTTAACTTTAATCATTGGACTATTCTTTCTTTATTTTTTATTTATTTATTTATTTATTTTCACCATATTTTTAACCCTACCTTTTATTTATTATTATTTATTAATATAATAATTCACTCTTTTTTTCTTCTTCTTGTTTGACTAATTCATACCCTTCCTCAAATTAAGGCTTTAATTTTCATTAAATCATCTAATTAATATCATTAATTAGTTGATTTTTGTAAAAAGATTGAGAATATTTGTTCATAATAACTGGTTAGATATATAATCTTAGATTAAGCAACTTTTAACTTCTTCGAACAACATCAAACCATTTTAGTCCCTACAAAAATAAAAAGCATCGAAACATTGAACCTTCGAGGGATAATGGTCAAGCCAAACCGGAGAAGAAAGGAATCTCGGTCGAGTTCAGCCACTCACTACCCTGTATAAACGCCTCCACTGTGAACTGACTCGCTTCCGTTGAGTTAGTAATGACCCGATAACCTGGCCAAGTAACTCGTCCAGTTGTATTAGAACCAGGTCCACGATTCAAATACTCCCCATAATACAAAGTATCTAATGCGAATGTCCCACTCCACTCAAGCCATCCGACTGGCTCAACCAATTGCCCAATAAATGACTTGAGAAAAACCGTCCTCGAGTAGAGCTTCCAGGGTCGACCCAAGTAAGTTCTAAAAGAGGGAAGAACTGGGAGCAAATCAGAGGCGGCTTCAACCTTGCAGTTGAGGATTGAGATTCCGGTATTTTGGTTAGGATCCTCACGACCTTGAGCTGTGAATATGTTGCGTTGGTTTGAGTTGGGTTTTCGAGCATAGAGATTACAGTTTTGGAAGATGACTGCTGCGTTACCGAAGATGAAGTCGATGGTGCCATAGACGTCGCATTCGCGATAGAATTGACGGAGAGAATGGACGTAGAGAGTGTCTTGATAACCGATAAAGCTACATTGGTAAAATGCTGAGAAGTCAGAGTTGCTTCGGAAGGCTACGGCTTGGTGCTTGCTCGGACCAGCAAAGTTTTCGAATGTTATGCCTTTCGCTATGAACCCATTGCCGACCGCCACTGAACGTAGTAACTAACACATGTTGTTATTCTCGAAAAAAAATTAAAATATTTTAACATCAAATACCAAATATTAAAACTAAAACTGTCAACAGAAAATTATAAGACCAAATAAAAAGTAGATTTAAAAAACATTTATAAATTTATAGAATAAATTGAAAAATTAATTGAAAAAGGCAACGGCCCTTTTTTTCGGAGATTGGCAATCTTATCCAACCCACATGCGGTTCGCCCATATTAGCGGCTTTTGGGCCACACTGGGCCCACTGGGCCCACTGTACTCGCCTTCCCCTACCCTTCTGCCACTTTCAAAATAATTAATAAAAAAACATCCCTAAATTTTCAAAAAATTCAATAATAATTTTAAATGTTTTAAAAATTATCAAATTTGCAATAATATTTTTAAATTATTTTTTTTATTAATACCTTTTAATTTAAATTTTTATTTGAAAACCCCTGTAACATTAACCCCTTGATTTTTATAAATAAAAAAATTTTAAAAAAATGATCGTTAGTATATAAACGAAAACAGTCTATTATCTAGTATTACTTTTAAAAGTTTGTTAGTATTTTTAAATGGATACTACTGGAATTATTTTTTAAAAATTTTAAAAATATTTAATGACATTTAAAAAAAATTAAAAATTATATGTAATGAAATTTTGAGAATCGACATGAATTTCTACAAATTAAAAGATATTTTTTAAATAAAATATAAACGATTAAAAAACATAAAAAACAAGTATTTTAAAATTTTTTTAAATCTTTTAAAAAAATTAAAAATATTTTTTTATTAATTTATTCTATTTTATATTCAACTATTATCTACTAATTTCCCTTTTCTATTTAAAATTTTTATTTTCTTTTTCAAGTTTCTCTATACCTATTTATTTTCTAAAATAAAAAAAAAACACACATTAAATTAAGAAACGTTTTCTAATTTTAAAATATTAGAACAGATCCAAAATTATGATTAATAAATAAATAAATTATTTCAGAGGCAAGATCTGATGATCGTCGGGTGGTTTCAGCATTTTAATGATAGTAATTAATTATTTATTTATTAAAAAAAAGAGTGAAACAGAGAACTGACCGACGGTGGCTGATCGGAAGGTAGTCCAGCCGTCGACGACATTCCGGTCGGCCTTTATCAGCGTCTTGCCGATCCCATCGCCGACGAACATCAAGTTTGTCTTTTTCCGTTCTATTTCCACATTCTCAAAATAGGCCCCTGCTTTTATGTATATTACAAACCTGGTCGTGCTCGAATTTGGAGCGGCGGCGACAGCCGCGCCGACGGTGGTGAAATTCCCGGAGCCATCCTTCGCCACCACCAAATTGAACTTCGTTTCATTCACCGACGCCTGCAACAATCTCCGATCCTTCACCGAAACCCACATCGGAAACCCACCTCTCACCGCCCCATACTCCGGCAACACCTCTTCCGCCGTGGCAGCCCGTTTAACTCCAGGGATTTTCTTCAGCATAGCCAAATCAATACTCAAATGCTGTTCGATTTTCCCCAAATACAGCTCCACCCGTTTCCTGACAGTCCCGGAACTATTATAAAACCCATCAAGACAAGTCCGGTGGTTAGTCATGGCGGCGCTGACCAACGTCAACAGATCGTGGGAGTGGCGGGCGGCGGACTGCGACGGGGAAAGATCGTAAATCGAAGTTTGGAGTTCGGCAATGCTGCCATCGAGAAGCTCAAGGCAGTCATCGAGGGCGCGGCGGTCGGTGGGATTCAGGCCTCCATAGAAGAGAGTCTTGAGCTTGGAGCAATTGGCGTAGGCACCGTGAACCTCATCGTTGGTGAAGTTGAGGGCGGAGCCGGCGAGCTTTTCCGGCGAGAGGGAGGCAAGTTGGGGAAAAGAGGAGAGCTTTGAGAAACAGAGATTTGGAAACAGAGTGCCATTGCAAAGGGATCGAGCGGTTTGGTGGGTTTGGGGATTTGAAGAAATGGGTTTGAAGGAGCAAAGGAAAAGAACGGAAAAGAAGGTGAAAATGGCGGAAATGGAGGCGGTGGGATTTGAAGAGCTTTGAGCTCTGCTTCTCAGGCCGTACATGTCTGAAACAGAGAGGTGGGAAGAAGATGAAGGGGAGATTTATGTGGCTGTCAAGAAGGAAGATGAAGAGTAGATTTATAATATTTCATACTTTTTAAAATAATAATTTATACTTCCAAAATTTTTGGAACCATTCACAAAATATTTATAATTTTATTAATTAAATCTAGTTAATCAATATTGAACCAACTCACGTGACCCTTTAAAATTTTAATTGATACAATTATAAGTTTTGTGTCATATTTTTTTAAACTAAATTGACATAGTTACCATAGTTTCATAAGTTGGCACCTCATCGATGACATATCTCTTATTTCACCCTTTCAGACTACCTTTCCTTATTTCAGGGCTTATTCAAATGTAGTCTTGCTTTGTTGATATTTCCAATCTAGAGTTGCAGATGATATGCGATCTCTTTGTTTCCACTGTTTCTCTTTATCCTTTTCTATCAACGCATCTAAATCTGTGTTGGAGGGAATGTGGGGCGATGGGGTTTTTATAGGAGCATTAATGGTTATCTCATCGCGAGATCTTCGACAATTGGCCAAAAATTATATATAATCTTAAGGGTATTTCTTACGACAATTCGTTAAGTTAGAATCTTCGTCCCAAAAATTAAATATACTTCATGATTTTGAGTTGGATCCCATCCAATGTGGACCAAAGTGGAGAAAGGAAGACAAAAGCATCAACAAATTATTAAAATTAAGCCTTTTTCTTCCTTTCTTTTGCATCTATGGTTCTTTTTGGGCCATTGATTTGTTGCTATCAAATTTATCTTTTATTTACAAAAATAAATAAATAGTTCTAATTTGTTGGTTTTTAAATTACCCATTTCATCTCTATAATTTTAATATTAGTTTAATTTTTTAAAAATAATTTAGATTTAATTTTCATGGAGACTCGGATGAAAAAAATTAATTAAACAAGCACGTAAAAAATATAATTTTTGAAGATTAAACTTATGATCCGAACGTTATAATGATATATTTATTCTATTAAAATATTCAAGGAACTGACTTGCTCAAAAGTTTAAGGGTATTTTTTAGACAAAGTTTAGAATTTTGAGTTATTTATATTAATTTAATATTTTAAAAAATTGAGTGAAATTTTTGTTTTAAAAAGGAATCTTAGAGGGAAAATGGTAACTTTTGCAAATAGAGACAAGCTAGGGAGCACCGACAAATTAGCAGAAATCTTAGGGACTGAGAAGAAAAAAAAATAATTAAAAAAAAGTAAATAATTAGGGTTAGTTTAAATTATTTTAAATTATTGGGGCCTTTTTGGGTTCATTGACACGTGGGTGGGGGAATCACATGACGTCTCAATTTAGCTTCATTTACAAGCAATAGAATCAATCTTAACCCCACAAATACATTCATTTTCTTATCATATAATATGCAATTTTGTAACGTTTGATTATAATTTAGGAAACTATATAATTCACATGAAATTATTAACATTTCATTTTTAGTAAACTAGTATTTTTCCATATTGCATTAAATAAAGTAGGCTACCGGAATTATCCTAATTATTTTATTTTATTTTATTTTATTTATTTATAGTTAATAAAAGAAATTAATTTTTTATAGAGTTAGAAATCAGGTGGCTCAACAGTAAGGCCATAATTTCTTCATTATTGTGTCTTCAACCATTTTTGGCCCATACACCCGTAACTCGAATCACATGTCATGTCCTCTTTTATTTTAGAGATTTGGTTGTGACATTCATCCTGCATTTATATCACTAAATTTTCTTATAAATTAATATTCAATTATCTGTAAGGTTCTTTATTTACTGACTTTCTTAATTTGAGCCGACTGATACAACTTTATGCTGGTCAGACAATAAAAATATATTTCCGTAGTATTATGGGTTCGTGCCATTTTTTTTTTTTTTTTTTGGGCCATGTTTAATATTCTTTGAATAAAATTGTTATTTTGAAAATTAGACAATTGTTAATGATATATATATATTATAACAAATAGCTCTAAGATGAGAAAGAAAAGAAAGGCCTTCCTCTAGGCCCTAAATTCTCATATGGGCCTATAATTCATTGTTATTAATGTCTTTGAAATGTCACATTTATTAAATTAATAAGTGATAATTTTGACCCAAATTGTCACAAAAGGATAAAATAAGCATTAACAGAAATTAATTAAAAAATTATTAGTTAAACTATAAATTTAATTTGGATAAAGTTGTTTAGAAAATTAAAATATTATTTATTACAGGTCTATCAAAATTTATAGTATTCTTCCCATCAAAGCTAACTTAACGAACTATTCCAACAAGAGTGGGTTAGAAGATGAATAACTCTTAGATCAAACTTGGAATCTATGATGATTACTTTTAGATACCAACTCACCCCAAAATTAGTTTGATCATAACTCATCCAATTAATCGATTTTAAATATCAAATCTAAAACAAGGTTTGAAAGAAATATAACACAAGAATTTCAAACCGAACGTTTTTTTTCATTCTACCAAACCACAGTTAAATATAAAGGAAAGAAAATAATGAATGACATAAATAGTGTTAAATGGTAGCTCAACTAAAAAAAATCAAAAGTGAGAGAGATTAAAATAAAAATTTAAAAAGGTAAATATAAAGGAAAGAAATATGATTGAAGTCAGCAGCGAGGAATCCTTGGGCCGTCGGCGGCGGCGGCGGCGGTGGGGCCGTCGGTGGTTTATGTACAGGACTGTACAGTCAACACTGAAGGAGAAGACCGCAGACAGGCTGTGATTCTAAAACCAAAACACTTCAATTTCAAATCATAACCCAATTAACAAGTACTTTGTTTGGCTTATATGTTATATTTCCACACACTTATTTGTCTAACTTTTCTCCTTCATAATTGAACTCGAGAGAGATTGAAAGAGAGCGACCGACCCAGATTAAGATAATTATAGCGAAACCTTTGTTCAGTATTAATGTGATTGACGATGTAATGAAAATGATGTTCAAATTATCACAACATGTTGTAATTCATAGCATAATCTTGCTTCTAAAATGATTTGAATCTCAAACAAGTGTTCTTGTCTTGAAATATTCGATCAACAAGATAATCCTAATCTTAGATTGAAGTGGAGTCGTAACAAGATTGATATTATATCTTAGATGAATTCCCTCTATATTCTTTTCACATTGTATCGTACATGATAACAGCTCAACGTAGCTCAGTAGAGTCTTCTTATGATTCCACCTCTTCGACTCGACACAATCTAAATACTTTCCGATTAGCAACAAACATTAAATTTAATTTGTCGGTTGAATTACATTTTGAAATAAAAATTAAAAAAAAAAATTATAGAAATTTATAATAAACTTAGCCTCCTAATTTGACCATGGATAATTGAACCATCACGTCCCTTTGTCTTTATGATTTAAAATCATGTGGGCCCCATGATTATAATATAATATTTACTCAAAATATCTTAAACTTCATAATTATAATTATAAAATACCAACTATAATAATCTTATTAATTAATATTAACCAATTGTTGTTATTTATTAAAATTTCACCTTCTTAAAAAATTAATTGAATTTATTAGTACTGTTTGACTTTCTCAAAATATAATTTTAAAAAAGGCAAATAATAATAAATAGACGCGGGTTTGAATATTCCAAGTCAACCCTGTGTTATTTTTCCAAAATAATTTCGTACTATTTGATTTATTTTTATATTCCTATAAATATAAACTAATAATAAGGATTAAGCCTTAATTAATATATTTTAAATAAAATTAAACTAATAATTTATTAATAAGAATTTAAACCTAATTATGAATTGTGTAACAACACGTGGTTGGTCCCACGTGAATGAAGTTAGGTATGTTTTACTTAATATCTGCAATGACTTTGTTTGATGAGAAGATACTAAATGTGACATTTTTATTTTATTTTATAAAGAATGAATCGACATTTTCATAAATATAATATTTAATATAAATAATAAGTAGTTTGACTAATTTTAAGAGGTGGAAATGTTTAATAATTAATTTAATTATAAACTTAGGATGGGACTAAAGTAAGAATAATGTCACATTTGATTTTATTAATTAAAAAATATAGAATATTGCTGTTAGTGGTTTTTTGTGGCAACAAATTGAGATCTTTGAGTTAGTGGGTTATGGTAGGATACGTCGAGAGCTAAATTAGCTGCCTTCATAGATTTCCATTATTATTTTTCTTTCTTTTTTTTATATTACTCATAAAAATATTATAAAAAAATTAATTATTTTACCGTCTATCAAGTTATTTTAAGTTTTTTAATGTTATTTTTAAAAGTTTATGTTTATTTTTAAAACGTGATAATTACGGTAAATAATTTTTTAATTTTTTTAAAAACTACTTAAAAAGTATTTTTGATTTTTTTTTTTAATTAAAGAGGATTTAGGGAATTATAAATTGAGGGATAAACTAAATTGATTTTTCTTAAAATAATTATTAAAAAGAAAAAAATAACAAAAAAACAAAACATCTGCATGCCAGCTTGCAAATCTTGTCACTTTTCAACGTAACCAAACACTCTCCCTTCCTCTTTTGTCCCTTCTATCAACGCGCTTTGCTATTCTTTCATTTCACCATTTCACTTTCTCGGTTTTAAATTTCTGTGTGTTAGATGAATACGACTCTCTGTAATGATTTAATATTATTTATTTTGAGTATAAGCTTTTATGACTTTACTTTGAGTTTCTCCAAAAGGCCTTACTCAGATAGTTCGTTGATTATAAACTCATGATTATTCCCTAAATTAGTCGGACTTTCATCATTTAACACTGTGCTCGTAGGTTGATTTCTCCATGCATCCCGATCAAAGTCTCACAAACGTGCATTTCCCTTATGTATCCATACAAGATACCGCACGACCTACAGACAAGATCGGTGAGACCTGGAAAGACAGCTCGATTTGGAGTCTGAGGATCCATAGTACCACTCTCTTTCATGCTCATAGGTTGACTTCCCTAGCATCTAGACTAAGGTCTCACAAACATGCATTTCGTTTATGCATCGAGCCGCTTCACTAATGTGAATAGTACAGCCATTTCAAGGCATAGTACGACCTATGAGATTTGGGAAGGGAATCCAATTGGGGATCAGAGGATCTATAGTACCTACCGTCTCGAGACTAAATATTCATCATTTTAGAAATCGGGAAGGAATCTTTTGTAAAGACCGAACACATTGAAAATTCCATCCAATGCTTCCTCGTCCTATAAATGCATACAAACCCCATTACTCCATTCCCAACACAAATCTCAAAGCCCTCTTCTTTCACCAATGGCGGCTGCCCCACCCACCACCGCCGCATTCTACTCTCTCCTCCTCATCTCCCTCTACATCACCGCCGCTGGAATCTCCACCTCCGCCGCTCCCACCGGTTCGGTGTGCAGCTCGGCCCCAGACCCCTCCTACTGCAAATCGGCCCTCCCAAACCAAACCGGCAATGTGTACTCGTACGGACGGTCGTCCGTCAGAAAGTCGCTGTCGTCGTCGCAGAAGTTCCTCCGGCTAGTGGAGAAGTATCTCCGGTCCCGGTCGTCGCTGACGGTGGCGGCAGTTAGGGCGCTGGAGGACTGCCAACTGCTGGCGGGACTGAACATAGATTACCTGACGACGTCGTTCCGGACGGTGAACTCGACGAGCTGGACGCTGCCGGAGATGAAGGCGGAGGACGTGCAGAGCCTGTTGAGTGCGATATTGACGAACCAACAGACATGTTTGGATGGGCTTAAGGCGACGGCGGGGTCTTGGTCTCTCAAAAATGGCCTTTCCCTCCCACTTGCCGCTGACACCAAGCTCTACTCTATGTCCTTAGCCTTTTTCACCAAAGGTTTGTGTTTATTTTATTAATATCATTATTATTATTATTATTATTGAAAATTATTCCCTAATTTAAGGTAAATTTAAATCAAACGACATCGTTTAGGCTCAAAATGGACCATACCTAATATGGTATCAAAACCATGTCAATAGAATCATTTGTTCATGAGCTTCATAGGCTTCATGGGAGACTCTAGCATTGTGGAAAGTCTGATTCTTAACATTTATTTATTATTATTATTATTATTTAAGAACTTCATGGGTTTCAGGAGAGGTTATGTAGTATAATTATACCACGACTATACGTAGAGTCGTGATCACTAACCATTACCATTACTATTATTATTATTATTATTATTATTTAACATTAATGATCTTTTATTCTCGACAGGTTGGGTTCCAAAGAAGAAGAAAAAACCGACATGGACTTCAGCCGGGAGACAGGGCGGGTTCAACAACGGACGAATGTCACTCAAAATGTCCAGCAGAACCAAGGCGATTTACGAGACGGCAACTCGCCGGAATCTGCTGCAGACCGAAGACGGTGGCGACGATCAGATTTCGGTTAGGGACATCGTCGTCGTCAGTCAAGACGGCAGCGGAAATTTCACAACCATTAATGAAGCGATTGCGGCGGCGCCGAACAACTCTGCTCCGACGGACGGCTATTTCTTGATCTTCGTGGATGCTGGAGTTTATGAAGAATACGTGACGATTGCGAAGAATAAGAGGTACTTGATGATGATCGGAGATGGGATTAATCAGACCGTCGTCACTGGTAATCGGAACGTCGTCGACGGCTGGACCACTTTTAATTCCGCCACATTTGGTAAGTGTTTCCACAATTTAAAATTTGTTACATAATAAATTAATAACGAATTTTAATAATTTAATAGAAAAATTAAATAGGAAAGATATTTATTAAACAAACATTTTTTTTTTCTAACCCGTTGATTATAAAATTTAGAGTTCATATAATTTTTTTTAAATTAATAAAAAAATTGTAAATAAGCAAATATAAAAATTATTAACAATTAAAGTAAAATAAAAGGTTTATCAAACCGGGTCTCATTTACCCGTTTTCGTGTCAACACCAGCGGTGGTCGGACCCGGATTCGTAGCGGTAAACATGACATTCAGAAACGCCGCCGGAGCAATAAAGCACCAAGCCGTGGCCGTCCGGAACAGCGCCGACTTATCAACATTCTACCTCTGCAGCTTCGAGGGCTACCAAGACACCTTATACACCCACTCCCTCCGCCAATTCTACCGTGACTGCGATATTTACGGCACCGTCGACTTCATCTTCGGCAACGCCGCCGTCGTCTTACAGAACTGCAACATCTACCCGCGTCTGCCGATGGCCAACCAGTTCAACGCCATCACTGCCCAAGGCCGGACCGACCCAAATCAGAACACCGGCACCTCAATCCACAACTGTCGGATCACGGCAGCCGACGACCTCGCAAACAATAGCGGCGCCAGAGTGAACACGTTCCTCGGGCGGCCATGGAAGGAGTACTCGAGGACGGTTTATATGCAGAGCTTTATGGATGATTTGATTAATCCGGCGGGGTGGAGGGCTTGGGATGGAGATTTTGCTTTGAACACTTTGTATTATGCGGAATTTGGGAATTTTGGGCCGGGATCTAACACGTCGGAGAGGGTTAATTGGGTGGGATTTCATTTGATTGATGATACTGATGCTGGGAATTTCACGGCGGGGAATTTTTTGATGGCGGACGATTGGGTGCCGCAGACCGGCGTTCCCTACACCAGCGGCCTCACGGAGTAGAAAAACAGGGGAAGATCTTCATTTTCCTTCTAAAATTTTTAAAATTCCAAAGCCTAAATATATAGCTATGGAACAAACATGATTGATTCTTTTGAATATGGAAAAGATATCATAAACAAGATTATCTTATTTAAGGAACTAAAATTTGTATACTAAAATCCAAAACACCACAAAATGTTCATCTTTGATCATCAAGAGTTACGGGATAGATATCTTACACTATATGATGGCTGCCCATTTGGCATCCTTGTGTTTTCTCTGATTAATAACTGGTAACATTGCTCGAGAAGCAAAGGCGCAGCGACGATCGAGATGTATTTCTTTCAGCTTCAACGTATCCCTGCGAAAAATCCTGAAAGAGATTAGGAACTCCGAACGGATCGAGTTTAAAGACTTCTTTGGTACCGCGAACCGGAGAAGGCAACTTGATCAGTTTCTCTGAAGATTGGTCTGTGTCCATGGAGATCTGCACTTCTGTGGTTTACAACGGGTGTAACTTGCTTGACTGATAAGTCATTTGGGTTAGCATTGCAGATCCCAAGTTTCACAATGAACACAGCCGTTGTCCCTTTTTCAGGGCCTTCGCTCTCCATCCAAATGTGACCTCCCATGAGATTTACAAACCTGATCCAACAGAAAGAAGATAAGGGGATGAACAGAAAGAAGTTGGCTCGATGATACCCGAAAAACTGTTTGATGAAGCCTTCTATCTCATAACAGTGAAAAATTAATAGCTACATTGTAACGGTCTCATCAAATAACTTTTTGTGATATTGAGGCAATACCGTTTACAAAGGGCTAACCCGAGTCCCGCACTACTATTTGCTCGGTTAGATCGTGTTTGTGACTGAGTGAATTTGGTAAACAGATGAGGAATGTCTTGGGGAAGAACACCACATCCTGAATCTTTAACCTGCACAAGAAGAACATGTTCATTCACTGCCTCCTGTTCTTATTTTGATATGGGATAATACCAACCTGAACTCGCAGGTAAAAGTGGCCATCGGATTGCATGGGATAGAATTCAGGAGGGCGCCAATCTCTTAGAGAGTCCAGTTTTGCAACAGATGCTATGATAGAAACATGACCTTCCTTAGTAAACTTCACACCATTTCCAACGACGTTCAAGATGATTTGCATAAGCCGCTTCTCGTCGCCAACGGCACAGATGGGAAGATCTGATGCCAGAATCAACGCCATGGACAGCTTCTTAACCGAAGCGATGGGCTTTATCAGATCCATAGCCTGCAATGAAAAGCTTGATGATGTTAGGATAATGTCAGCTGAGAAAAGTAAGCTTAGATTCTAGAATTCACCTCTTTGAAAACTGCATGGAGATTGAATGATCCCAAGTCCAATACCAAGCTGCCATCTTCAAGTCTAGAAAGATCCAAGACATCATTAATCAGAGTGGCTAGAAGATTGCTACTCTTGAGTATTGTCTCTATCATCGCTCTTTGCTCTGGAGTCAGCTCGGTCTCTAAGAGCAGGGATGATAGAGCAATTATTGCGTGCATTGGCGTCCTCATTTCATGATTCATGACAGCCAGAAAGTCGTTACGAGCGTGAATCGCTGTCTCCGCCTCTCTTCGAGCTAAATCCAAAGCCACATTTTGGTCCACGAGCTGATCACGCGCAAGCATAGACTCTTCAAGAAGTGCAGCATGAGAAAGAGCAACAGCTACCTATATGGATATCAAGATTTTCATGATTTAGCAATTCCTGATAGCTGTTAATACAAGGAAACATGAAGACAGGTAACAAAAGGCATATATACATGAACAGATAAGAATAGCCAAAAAAACATGACATTCTTCATACTCCAGCTCGGAATGTCAGAAAACAGCTTAGAAATTCTCTATGACATTTCATATAACTAAGAGAAACTACAAATCTTTGCGTTATGAACAGATAAGAACTTCATGCTTTAATTTCAATAAAAAACTAGATAACCCATGTAACCGCCCAAGCCCACCACTAGATGATATTGTCCCCTTTGGCTCATTACATATTGTTGTCAGCCTCACGGTTTTAAAACGTCTCTGTTAGGGAGAGGTTTCCACATCGGATAAGGAATGTTTCGTTCCCCTCTCCAGCTGATGTGGGATCTTACAATTCACCCCCCTTGGGGGTCCAGCATCCTTGCTGGCACAACACTCGATGCCTGACTCTGATAACATTTGTAACAGCCCAAGCCAACCGCTAAAAGATATTGTCCCCTTTGGCCCATTACATATCGTCGTCAGCCTCACGGTTTAGAACGCGTTTGTTAGGGAGAGGTTTCTACATTCTTATAAGGAATGTTTCATTCCCCTGCCCAACAACTCAAAGGAACTCTTCTAAAGTTCCCTCAATTGCCAACCTTTTTTGATATGAAAGCCCTCCAATCACTGAGCTCTTACTTGACAGCAAACCCAACAATGGCATCACTTACAAAGTGTGTCCCTAAGCGTAGCATGTGTATTCGTCTTCCTCAGGCATTAAGATCCTATCTTAAAATGCAACCAAATTTGTGCTATTTATTAGAACTACAGATAATCAATTACTTATATACCTTAACTAACACTAGTTGTGTAAAATATGGCAGTCAAGGAGCAGTGTAGAGGTGCAGCAGAACAAGAAATTACACAAAACCTGGTCTGCGACTACATCGACAAGCTCCAACTCATGATCCCGCCATTTCCTAACGCTATCAGTAGGAAGGATTAGAACCATAATTGCATAGCTTCTGGAAGAGCCATCAGGCCAATTGTTCATTTGGAAATTTGAAAGATTCAAGAGAGGAACTCGCACAGCAACAACTTCTGGTGCCAAATATCTTCCTCCAGCAGGAGGTCTCATCTTAGCCAATTGACAAGTGTACGGAACACGTATGGCTCGATTACTATTGAAAACATCATTGACAACAGGAAGATTTATAGGAATATTAGCTCCCACTGGTATCTGGTAGTTCAAAGCATGTGAAAGTTGTAAACTAAGTCCATTCCGTGATGGCATCCATAGAGCACATTCCTCAAGTCCTAACGTCTTCCCCAACTCAACGAGTGTCGTTTTTAATATGGTATCCCGGTCGAGCGTGCTTCTTATTTCATGAGTTAACATTCTAACATGCCTTCCAGTTTCTTCCTGAGTGAGAATAAGACCCATCTCCCTGTCAAGTTCTTCAGCCTTGTTCTTAAGAATCAACTCTCGAGTTTTGACACTCAAAAGATCAGGAATAATATGAACAAGCATTAACGCAGTTGCGCATGAAACAATAGCACAGGCAACTTTTGCAAGAGTCATCACCACAGCAACAGCCTTCGAGTGCATGGAGAATGTCCAAAGGTTTATGAAATGTGTTGCCCCACACAGAACAATAAAAGCACCAAATTGCATAAGCACCCATCTATAAGGAAAGAATGCTGACTTCTGCACAAAATATATCAGCTCCAATGGGATGGAGAAATAAGCAAGCGCAATTAGTACATCTGATATGTACTGATATTTCACTAAAAGTTCATCAGGAGGCCATTGGGTATCAATGCAATCACAGGACTCCATCACTCAGTACATATCTGAAAGTACAGAACAATAGAAACATGTCAAATCAGAGTATTTCAACATCCAAATCAACAAAGTTCATACTCTAATGCAATTAATCCTTGAATGTTTATATGGAAACTACAGAAAACTGCACCAAAATTTGCATCTAAAAGCAGCCAAAATTCAGTGAAATCACTCTAATACCCGCAAATTCCAACTAGAATCCAGGAAGTTGATTTCATAGATATATTACACTATAGATCCATCAGAAACAATAAGGTTAAAAAAAACCTTTCACAGCATACTATTTCCTGTCCGTTCAAATCTCAGATTATGAACAGAGAAATGCCCGTAGTTAACTGAATCGAGGCCTTCCTCTGCTGCTACTGTCACCAAATGAACTAAAATCGTTCCAGTTCTATCTTCCAAATTAAATGGAAACCTCTCGCAAATCAAGAACAGAAAACAACTGATTCTATGATCCATTTGAAAAAGAGAACCAAAAACAATGAAATCAAGCATAAATCGAAGAACAAAAAGAGAACAAAAACTAAAGAAAGAAGAAGAGTAGGAAATGAATTGGAATACCAAGTTTAAGAAGGATGAACTTGAAGAAGGCTAAGCTTCCATGTGAAGAAGAAGAAGAAGAAGCAGAGAGTTAATGGAGAAATGCTCAGAGCTCAGAGGGAACTGAACGGCAAAAAAAAAGAAAGAGGGAAAGGAAGGCGAGTGGCCTTCACGGACGAAAAGAAGATACGGACATTCGCACGTGCGGCGCCTCACCGAGAACGTATGATATTGGTTCCTTTTCCTCTCTATCGGGCATAAAAGTGCGTGCTTCACACGTGTAGAAAAAAAACTAATAATAATTTTAATTAAAGGTAAAAGTGTGTATTTTTTTTATCCCATTTTTAAATATATTAAAACAAATTATTTTAATCCGTTTGATTACCATAATCAATTAAAATCTTTTTATTTAATCATTTAGATGCAATAGGGTGATTAAATATAAAATAATTATGCCATGTGTCAAGATCTTGAATTATTTAAATAAAGCGAAAGCGCTAATTTTTATTTAAATGTAATTAGTAATTTGATTAATTGAGGACATAGATTCAAACACATAGGAATAAAATAAGATTAAGATACCAGAATGAGGACATTATATATTAATTTATTTTTATAATTTGGGTGATTTAATGCAATAATCCTTCCAAACAAAATTAAAAAAAAAGTTGGTCTTCATGCATTGAACTTGCAAAGTTTAGCACACATGGTGGACCACTCTTTTTTCTATCAACTCTCTCTTTCTATCAATTCCCTAGTATAAGTACGTAGCGGGCCAGAGCAGACAATATTTACTAGTGGTGGGCTCTTTTTTCTATCAACTCTCTCTTTCTATCAATTCCCTAGTATAAGTACGTAGCGGGCCAGAGCAGACAATATTTACTAGTGGTGGGCTTAGGCACAGCACACATGGTGGACCACTCTCTTTGGGCCAGAGCAGACAATATTTACTAGTGGTGGGCTTAGGCACAGCACACATGGTGGACCACTCTCTTTAGACAATATTTACTAGTGGTGGGCTTAGGCACAGCACACATGGTGGACCACTCTCTTTGGGCCAGAGCAGACAATATTTACTAGTGGTGGGCTTAGGCACAGCACACATGGTGGACCACTCTCTTTTTCTATCAATTCCCTAGTGGTGGGCTTAGGCACAGCACACATGGTGGACCACTCTCTTTTTCTATCAATTCCCTAGTATAAGTACGTAGCGGGCCAGAGCAGACAATATTTACTAGTGGTGGGCTTAGGCACAAATGGTATCAAAGTCAGACATCAAGAGCGGTGTGTCAGTGGGGTGGATTGTGAGATCCTATATCGGTTGATGCGAAAACATCTTCCTAACAGACATGTTTTGAAGCGGTGTGCCAGCGAGGACTCTGGCTCCCAAGAGGGGTGGATTGTGAGATCCTATATTGGTTGATGCGAAAACATCTTCCTAACAGACATGTTTTGGAGCGGTGTTCGAGCGAGGATTCTGGCTCTCAAAAGGGATGGATTGTGAAATTTTATATCGGTTGGTGCGAAAACATCTCCCTAACAGACATGTTTTAAATCTATTTGGCTAACGACGACGTAACAAGCCAAAACAAACAAATAAACACAACAAATAAACCTAAAATACATATTAGAAAAAAAAGAAAAATATTAGGAGGGTTGAAAGGTCAAAATTCTTTTAAATACTTCTAAAAGTTCATAGAACAAATAAACACAAATTCAAAATTCAACGAGTCGTAATTTAAAATGAAAGAATCATAATATGAATATACTCCGAAAGAACGAATTTTAATAATCATTTCAAGCGCGTTTATAAATGAGTGATACTCATCAAGTCATAGAATATGATTTCAAAGCAATGAACCTATGACATATGGGTCAAATCAATTAAAGAGTGCATATTGATCAATGAATGAAGGAAGACATTTGTGGGGCTGTTTGGAAACATATTTCAATCTTCTCATTATGGTATGCAGTACCTTTATTATTGCCAACCAACCATTTGGATGATTTAGACATTATAATCAATGTCAAGCAAATTGAATGACTAGTAACATATTCCTACGCTAATCAATCATAACAAGGACTAAATTAATCATCAATTTTCGTCAATTCCATACCTGTTTAATCCATTATACATACACAAATAGTTCGTTTAACAGTATTTCAAACGAAAAGTCTATTAGAAGTTTCGACCGTTCATGATCGTCCACAGAGGTTGGCTCATAGTAAAGCTTTGTTTTAGGAGAAACAACACAAAATTAAGATGGAGATTCAAAGGAAAGCAAAGATTTCTCCCATTGATATTCACAACTGATGCTGCAAATATGTACGAGCCAAGTAAAGAATAATACATAAAACTGGTCCAAAGAAAAAGCCAAAAGCTTTCTCTATCCCCAAACCACATGGCAACCTTCTAACCTCTTCGGAATTAAAATAGTCTCCAATAAACTAGAGGGAGTTAATACGATCTAAATGATTTTCCTTTCGGAGTCCGAAGCAAAGTAAAGAATAAGTTTTTATTGGTTCAGTTCAAACTTGGGACTATATCTAATCTTCTTCTCGAGACTGAGATTAGGTATGGGTAGAGCTTTGAGTTACCTCTGATCCACTAAGCTCCTCTCTCACGATACAAATATCTCTAAAAAAGCGTCATTGCTGTTCTTATTTTGAAGCACCAAAATAATGAATACATACACAAAAATAATCACTCATCGAATTTAAATTTTCGCCGTATAAAATCCAGTTGAAAAAAATACCTTTTCTTCAAGGAAATTGATACAACGTTGCGATGTTACAGATGCAACGTTTTGTATGGCATCGAGCGGACAAGCTTTTTCTTGGGGGAGTGCATAGCATAAGACGTTGCACTAGTGTCTCAACGTTGTCTAATAACCTTGTGGACACATTTGACCCCACCATTCTGAAATGAATTTTCATGTGATTCAAAATAATAAGCCACAATAAATAGGCTGGGGTTTAGGATATAAAGTGTGTGAAAAAAGTATTATCACCGATAAATATGATAATTAACATAAAAATACTGCTAAACGTAAGTTGCAGATTATCCATGACATAAAATACACAAGTATGTACCTTTTGAGGCAGAAAAAAATTAAAAACTATACTGAATATTTCTTGGAAATGGAACTACCAAAACAATGTACTATAACTAGGCCTCGAGATCATCCATCAGAACAATACTTGATAAACGATGTTACCATAGGCCTCAAGATTATTACTCAGAAAAGTAGTTGATAAACGTGTTACCTTCTCTAAGGTTGAAGGCTTCCATCTCCTATCTTTTCATTTGTTAGACTCGAAAGAATATAATGACTCGAGAAATCAACCTATCCTGTAAAAGAAAAAGAAAAAATAACAGTAATGTTCGATAGAATGTGTCGATGAACTCAGTTTTGATCTCCTTGACAGCCAAACGAGATGTTTTTTCTTGAAAGGACTAACAAATCCATGTTCTCCATTTGATCCTAAAACCTGACTCAAAATATCATCAAGAAAATTCCAATCAATCATGTCAAACGCATTTTTCAATATCAAATAAAAGAATGACTACCCAAAAAGATCACTGTAAAGAATAGATGGAGAGTAGATCTTCACTTTCCAGATGCTGCAGTATGAAATTCAAACATCAGATCACATGTTCAACCGATCAAATAAGACCCATAAAGAACAAACACAAGAACTTTTTTTAATATCAGAGCATTCCTTTATCTTACTCATCCAGTTTCAAGAGGTGCCAGCAATTCCATAATGGAGGAGTCTCGGTCATTATTAAAGGCTCACATGTCTTCTTGTAAAGCTCTTGTTCTAGTTTCTCAACCTCCTCCCTAACCTGCCAATGCAAGTCATCCCAACAATGTAAAGCCTATCAACCAAAGGAGTAGCCTACGCCAACCTACATAGGGCGCCAGGATCAGCCTTAGAAAAAAGACTTGACTTTTCACCTATAGGACTAGAAGCACATTACCTAGAGAGATCAAAAGGACTGGAGCCTTTAGTGCTCTGAATTCCACTGACAGCATCTTCTTTATAACAAGTTTTGGACCAAGGAAATTTCAAGCTAGATTTTTCCTGCAAATTCAAAAATAAAATTTTCAACCTTAAATCCAACAAAAATTTCAGAGAACAAAATTAGAAAAAGAAAAGGATATGAAGAACAAAGAATTAGAACATGTTGAAATACATACCCTGTGCAGGACCAACTCAATCAGAGCTTCAGATACTAGCAGATCGAGCAAATGAGATAGGAAAATGTCAAAAAGATATAAAACAGAACCAAAACCACGCATAGAGAAGAAATTCACATGTAAATGGAAGAAGAAACCAACTAAAAGTCAGTCGCTGTTCTGTAGATCTCTTCTTTTTCAAAAGAGTGTATGACATGAAGCAAGAGTCACAATCTTCTTAAGAAAGAATGAAATAAGGTTAAAAACAGAAAGAACTCTAAAAATTAACCTCAACTGGTATACGAGAGAGGCACAAGTAACACTAATAAATATATACAAATCAAAACTTTAGAACCCTGTTATACGAGGGTGAACAACTATGGTTAAAAAACACAAGAACATCTCCTGTTGAACTCTGAAAAACAGAACAGACAACTCACCTCGCCTAAAAGGCAAACCTTGAACCAAAATTTTGTATAAATAGAATATCTAATTTACAAAAGATGTTTGAATCTTTTCTTCGTCCTCATATCTTCTACACAGATAAATAGTAGCACGTTTCAAGTTCTCTAAACATTTTGCCAAAAGGACATTCGGTCATCAAATTTTTTTCTTGGCCCTTTTCAACTTCCTGGAGAGACGTTCTGGGGGCTCTCGTATTTCACACAGCATTTGTGACCAAAGGTCTTCAAAGTGACTGTGATAACTCTCTTGAAACCAATCCAAAATTTCTGAATGGAGTTCATAAGGATTATCCTTCCAAACCACTCTCAATGTGGCACAACTATTAATCTTCTTGGACTTCAGTCTAGATAGAAGATTGCCTACTCTTTTTTGGCCTAATGCCTCTGGTCTTAAGATACTACTGGGAGGAGCTGCCATGAACTTACGCACATTCTTTAAGCATGGTAACACATTCCCTTCAAGCAAAGCACATGCAAACACTGCAACTCCATGAGCATTATCTTTTATCGGGGCATTGT